AGAGCACAGCTATAGCTACAGGGGAGCGTATGTACAGTGCTGGGGGGATGATCCCTGGGTTGCTATGGCCCCAGCTTGGCAGGGAAAGGCTCTTGTGTTTAGTAGAGACTAAAACTCATCTTCCCTCACCCTGCAGAAGTCACCTGTCAATGTGGCAGCAGCCTCCGTGGTCCCTCCCAGCTCATGCATGCTGCCACCAGCCCCATGGCACAGGGGGAAGGTGACTGGGAGCCAAGGGACCCCCGAGGAGCTGGGTCCAACTGGTTCCTACAAGCACCAGGAGGGGCTGATCCAGCAGCTGCAGCAAAGCACGGGCTGCAGAGGGTCTCGATGGTGTTGGTGTGATCAAACCCTTCGCTGGTGTGTCCAGTATATACACGTATGTACAATCACCCGCCGCTTCCCTCCTGGCCGTGCAGGGTGGGGTGGGATGGCTGGGACACCCAGGCTTTGCGTCCATTGTCTCCTTCTGGTCACAACACAGCTCCAGGCAGGTTCCTCTGAATCTCAGCTGGAGCCTGGCTGTCCTCCTGCCCCGGCTTTCCACAGTCTGAGCCCTGGAGCAAGCAGGGAGTGGGCTGATATCCATCAGATGTGGGTGTGAAGCTGGCAGGGAAGGGCAGAGGTGTCCTTGGGTCAGGAAGCAGCAGCTCTCATTTCAGATCTAGCAGCGGGAAGGCTGGTTTGGGGTCTGCTGTGCCCCTTGCTCATGCCTTCCTGGTGATTCCCCCTTAGAGCAGCCCTGGGCAGGGTGTGTGGCCAGTGTAGCCCTGGATGAGGGGGTGGAAACTCTCCCTGAGCGGTTTGAAATCAGCTCGTTTGCAGAAAGGTCTGAAACAAGCCCCCAAGATGTGACAGTCAAGCTCTGCTCTAAAGCAGCAGCACGGATCTGGAGCCTGGGGATGGAGCTGGCTGGGAATCGCTGGCTGCCCGTGAGGCCACTGGGTCTGCGTGGGTCCAGGAGGGAAGGGACCTTTCCATGGAGTCTCCATCAAAGACAAAGCTCTTCCCATTGGGATGAAGAGTCAGGGAAGCCCTCCAGAGTAGGGACAGTGCAGTTCATTAGGAGATCATTATCTTAAAGACGTCCAAGGCAGTTTTGGTGCTGATCTGAGGAGCTGTAGAGATGCAAAAAAAGGCTCCAGCTCCAACCCCAGCCTCTCCCTGCCCATCAGAGCAGGGTTTGGCTATCGAGCACCAGGAGGGCACTGGCCATCCCAGTGCCAGAAGCCAGGCACAGTCCGAGGTGAGCATGGTCAGAAGTGTGCCCGGGGTGATGCTCAGCCCAGTCGCAGCACCAGCCTTCACACCCCCGGCCCCTGAGGGTTGAGGAAGCAGGGACAGCAAGGATGGCTCCAGGCAGGTCAATCCGGTGGGGGGTCAGGAGAGCTGCGGAGCTGCCCCTCGGCTTTGCTGGGTTCCTTGTCTGCGTGGGGTGGGGAAAACGAGTGGCGAGGAGGGGAAGGGGAGTTGGTTTCTAATGGGCTTTGGTGGGTACTGGGACTTGCAGTCTCTTGCAAGAGTGACCCACTGCAAACACTCCTGGTGACAGTCCCACAGCAAAACCACCAGCCCCAGCCCTGCTCCGAGGGGTCCGGGGCTGCGTCCGTGCTCCTGGTGTACAGGGAAGTTCTACGGGACACACGGGTCTCTGCTTCCCATCACCTCTGATTTGTGAGAACCCTGTTCCTGCTGCTCCAGCTGGGCAGGCAGGAGCTGTAATTAATCTCTCCTGCCTGGGGACAGGCTGGGTGTGAAGCAGCAGCAGAACCACTCCAGCACTCGCAGGATCAGCCTATTCGCTCGGCAATAACCGGGAGAGATTTCACATGATGCTGCCAGCAGCCCCGCGAGGCTTTTCAGAACAGATCCAATATGAGGTCAAGTTCCCACTAAAATCAAGTGGCTGGGAAGGAAAACTTTGTTATAGGTGGCAGCGATGGTGCTGCTGTTTATTAGTCAGCAATGAACTAGCAGAAGGTTTTATTGTGCTGGTTTTACTGCCAGCGCTGGGCTGTGGCTGCAGCTCATTCCACCCAGCTGGGATGTTCCTCTCTCCTGCCCTTTCCCCCAGGGTGAGCTGTAGCAGGGTGGTCGTGGGGTGACCTGTCACCCCCAGGAGCTGCCTCCCGTGGGGTGACCTGGCACCCCCAGGAGCTGCCTCCTGCTCCTGCCCTGCAGCATCTCACCTTGGTGGCTTTTGGGACATCAGTGGGAGCACTCTGTGCCCCTCACTCCTCACCTGCAGCCCCGTTATCCCCAGCCCAGGTGAGCTCCTGGGTGCAAAGGAGGGGAAGGGGATATTTCAGATCGCAGGGTGAGCATGGCCAGGACTGAGGTGAAGCTGGTCACTAGCAGATCTGGGTCTGGCCCCACTGTGGGTGGGTGCTGGGGGGTGTGAACATCCTCTCTTGTGACAGGCAGGGAGATGCACCCCCCTCCCCACTGCCTCCCCTGCTTTCCACACAAATAACTCCTTCACCACCCACCAAATATGAAATATCCAAAGCCCCGCTGACGCATCGCTGCGGCTCTGACACCGAACCTCATCCTAACACAGGGCTCTGGCTGCACCCAGCCTGGCTGTCACCACCCAATATCTCACTCTAGTGTGACACGCTGCTTGTGTTTTAATTCCTGCAGCATCAGCAGGGCAGCCTGTGCTGTCTCAGAGCCCAGGGTCGGCTTTACTGAACAAAGCCAGGGCAGGGACGTGCTCAGCGAGCTGCTGCCTGCACAGCCTGGCACAGGCAGCGAGGGGATGGGCAGGTGCCCGCATGGTGCCTCCATCTGCTTGAACATTCCTTGGAGGAGCAGTAAATGGTTAAAAGCAAAGAAATGCTGATGGCACTCTTGCTTTGTGCCGCAGAAAGCCCCTGAGCTCTGGGAACCCCCTGGACAGAGAGGAGCAGGCGTTGAGCCCGGCACTGAGCCCTTTTTTTGGGGGACTGGGGTGGCACAGCTGGATGTCTGATGCCCCGGGCAGGGACTCGCTGTAGGAGCCAGGCAGAGCCATGGGAAAACTTCTCCCAGAGCTGGTGCTCTCGGAGTATCGAGGTGGGGTGAGCAAAGCAGCACCCCAAAGCCGTTGGCAGCTTGTGGGGAGTGCTCATCCTCACCTCCCACATGGCTTGCAGCATGAGGTGAAGGCTCCGTGTCCGCTGGTGACGGGGCTGGTGTGGGGACACCGGGGTTGGGATGGGAAAGGGGAGGGTGAGCGAGACCCGGTTGTTTTCTCCACCTAAACCACTGTGTTCCCACGGCTCAGCTCTGGAGCAAGAGTCTGTGAACAGTGTCTGGCCC